CATATTGTTTCAAACTTTGGAACAATGCTCTTCTCCAGACTGAGGGACTGACCACCTCAAAACTTTAAGGGTGATGGACTGATTACATCGTCTTCAAGTCTCTTCTGCTTCAATCAACTTTTCTGTACTCGACTGAAGAAGCCTACTGTGTAGGCGAAACGTTTCGAAATAAAGATATCTAACTGTTGCATATGTGTCTTACCTAACAATCTGTCGGTATTTTATACCATTTTAATGTTCAATCTGTCAGACACTGCAACACAAGGGTATCTTGGTACAGACCTCGAATCAACTTCGACTACCTCTACTAGTGAGAGCGGCTGGATTTGAGAGGGACCTGACCTCCCAACATCTGCGTTCTACTAGTGACCTGTCTCACCTCCTGGCGCTATATAAGGCTCCATCCTGTCACTTCAACATTTAGATTATGCTGCACCAGGAACATCTGTAGAGGGAGGAGAGGTATGAACGAGATTAGTGCGAAGAGTGTTAGTCTGGCGGAAGGTAAGCTTGATGTCTAAGGGACGGAGAGAATTGTTGAGATTAGAAAGACCTGAAATGTAGGGAACATAAGAACATAAGAACATAAGAACGAAGGAACACTGCAGAAGGCCCACTGGCCCATGCGAGGCAGGTCCAAGTCTCCTACCGGCTTAAGCCAATGCACCCAACCTAGTCAGGTCAGGTCACATTGACTTAAGGGAGGAACACGGCAACCGACCTGTTAGCACAAGCTATCAGGTCTAACTCACACCCACCCACATCTACTCATGTATTTATCCAACCTATTTTTAAAGCTACACAACGTTCTGGCCTCTATAACGGTACTTGGGAGTCTGTTCCACTCATCCACAACTCTATTACCAAACCAGTACTTTCCTATATCCTTCCTGAATCTGAATTTTTCCAACTTAAACCATTGCTGCGAGTCCTGTCTAGGCTAGATATTTTCAGCACACTATTTACATCCCTTTATTTATTCCTGTCTTCCATTTATACACCTCAATCATATCCCCCCTAATTCTACGTCTTTCTAGAGAGTGCAGTTTCAGGGCCCTTAGTCTATCCTCATAGGGAAGGTTTCTGATACATGGATCATCTTTGTCATCCTCCTTTGTACATTTTCCAGAGAATTTATATCCATTCTGTAATACGGTGACCAAAACTGTGCAGCAGAATCTAAATGAGGCCTAACCAAGGATGTATAGAGTTGAAGAACAACCTGAGGACTCCTATTATTTATGCTTCTTGATATGAAGCCAAGGATTCTATTAGCTTTATTGCGAACACTTATGCACTGTTGTCTTGGTTTCAGATTACTGCTAACCAGAACTCCTAAATCTTTTTCGCAATCCGTAATATTAGATCTACATTATTTAGTTTATATGTGGCATGGTTATTGTCCTGTTCAACATTTAGAACTTTGCATTTGTCTATATTAAACTGCATCTGCCACTTCTCCGACCACTGCATCAGTCTATTCAAATCTTCCTGGAGTGCTCGAATGTCCTCGTCAGAATGAATTCGACGGCCTATTTTGGTGTCATCGGCAAACTTGCCGATGTCGCTCTTTATGCCCTCATCTATGTCGTTTATGTAGATTGTGAACAGCAGGGGGCCCAACACTGACCCCTGTGGAACACCGCTCGTGACGCTTCCCACTCTGATTTTCTCCCCATTTATGCAAACTCTCTGCTGCCTATTTGTCAACCATGCCTCTATCCAGAAAAAAATTTCTCCTCCTATTCCATGTGCTTTAATTTTCCTCAATAGTCTCTGATGTGGGACCCTGTCAAAAGCCTTACTGAAGTCCATATACACAATATCATATTCATTACCATGATCTACCTCCTCAAATACCTTAGTGAAAAAAGTTAATAAATTCGTAAGGCAGGAACGCCCCTTTGTAAAACCATGCTGAGATTCGTTGATTAATTTATGCTTTTCAAGGTGGCTACGAACTGCCTCGGCAATTATGATTCCATAAATTTTCCACTATGGAGGTAGCTTATTGGTCTATAGTTCGAAGCTAAGGACCTGTCACCTGTTTTGAAAATAGGTATCACATTTGCCATTTTCCACTTATCTGGCACCATGCCAGTTTGTAGTGATATGTTGAAAAGATTAGCCAAAGGTGTGCTAAGCTCCTCTTTACATTCCTTAGAACCCTTGCATACAGTTCATCAGGGCCTGGGGATTTGTTAGGTTTCAATTTATCTATTTGCCTAAGGACCATGTCACTTGTGACCCTAATAGTGCACAGTTTATTATCGTCCTGTTTTACATAATTTTTCATTACTGGTATATCGCTGGTATCCTCCTGTGAAAAAAAACTGAGAGGAAGTATGTGTTAAAAATTCTACACATTTCCTTATCACTGTCAGTGAGCTGACCCGAGGAACTTTTGAGTGGGCCTATCTTGTCCTGATCTTACTTCTGTATCCCTGAAAGAATCCTTTTGGGTTAGTCTTCGATTCTCTTGGCAACTTTAACCTCATAATCCTTTTGCTTTTTAATTCCTTTTTTATTTCTCTCTTTAACTGAATATATCGATTTCTTAATTGCCCCTCTCCTCTTTTGATTTGCCTATATATGCCTCTCTTTTGACCAATCAGATATTTTAATCTATTGTTCATCCATTTAGGATCATTTTTGTTTTGATCTGATTCCCTATTTGGAACATAATTGACTGAGCAGCTAGAACTATGCCCTGGAAAGCATCATATCGGCAACCATCACCACCTACCTGACCCTTAGTCAGGTCATTCCAGTTCAGCCCACTAAGTAATTTTCAGTCCTATGAAATCAGCCAAGCGAAAGTCAGGACGGAGACTTGATTGCCATTATTAGGGGAATTCCATGATATATTAAAACTGAGTGATTTTTTATCACTCTCCCCAAGCTCATCATTAACCTCAAGATTATTAATTAGTGTTCCCTACGGGCAAGAACCAAGTCAAGGAGGTTATTTCCCCTAGTGGCTCTGTCACAAACTGTTTTAAAAAACAATCCTGGATGGTATCAAGAAAGTCACCCGACTCCTAAATTTCCTGTCAAATTGCTCCAGTCAATCGTCTATAGTTGAAATCTCCCATTAGCACAACATTTTCGTATGTAGATGCCTTACGAATTTCGTCCCATAGAAGTTTACTGCACTCCCTATCAAGATTTGGGGCCCTGTAAATCACCCCCAAAATTAGTTTTTCTCGGCCCTCGAGAAGCTGAACCAAACAGATTCAGTGGCTGACCTTCTAATTTAATATCTTGTCTTACCACAAAAATTTAAAAATTGTCTCTGACATACATCGCTACTCCACCACCTTTCCTGTTGACCCTGTCAGTGTGGAATAATTTATAGCCTTGTATGTGACATTCAGAGGGCATCTCTCTATCTTTCAGATTGAGCCAGGTCCTGTTATAGCAATAATATCTATGTTTCCTGCACTTGCAATTAATCTTAGCTCATCTATCTTAAATTTTTAACACTCCTGTATTAGTATAGTAAACCTTAAGGGAGCAAGTCCCTTGCTGCCCTCTGCTGCCCCCCGACCGGCAGAGGATAGAAGAGTTCTCATGAGTAGAGAGTTTGGGAGAGAAGAAATTGCGTTTAGCACGTGAGAGGGCAGAGTCTATGAAATGGGAAGGGTAGCCAACACGGGAGAACGAATTATGAAGAGTGGAAATTTCTGCTGGAAGGAACTGAGGATCACAGATGCCATCCAGCCAGCCACTGGATGGCGAAACGTCCACAACAAAGACAACCAGACGCCGCACGTGTCTTAATTTCATCAGTAGTTGTAGTAGTAGTAGAAGAAGAAGAGGTAGTAGTAGTGGTAGTGGTAGAAGTGGGAAATAAAAAGGACGAGCCAGTCAAATACAAAGGAAGGGGAGCACTGCAAGAGAGCTAGATGCCCACAGAGGGAGAGCAAGCGCATGCCTTGACCTAGTCAGGTCAGACACGTCACAGGGAGGAGCACTGCATCCGACCCAGTAGCATAAGCTAGTCAGATTCAACTCACACCCACCCACACCCACTCATGTATTTATCCAACCTATTTTTTAAACTACACAACATCTTAGCTTCTATGACAGTGTTCGGGAGTTTGTTCCACTCGTCCACAACTCTATTACTAAACCAGTGCTTTCCTATATCTTTCCTGAATCTCAATTTTCCAATTTAAGGCCATTGCTACGAGTCCTGCCAGCCATGTTGCCGTTCAGAAGAGGAAGACTGAAAATTATATAATGCGATTCATTGGGAATAATAATTTCACAGTATTCTTCAAATAAAATGGTCACATTTGCACCTACACATTAGAATGTCGCTTTGTATAACTCTACACCACTGAGGATTCTGGAAGTTATCCGATATGTAATTTTATAATTTTGTCAGTATATGGTACTGCCGCTGTTTATCCCTCTCAAGGTAAAGACATGTAGGGATAAAGACATGTAGGGATACACAAAAATCCAGTGACAGCATGTAAACGGGAGATAGATGCTTGCTAGAATGATAGATGAGTATGGAACAGTGCTGCAGGGTGGGTATATTAAAGAGAGCCGGGGGAGAGGGGATTTAGGGAGGGAGAGTGCAAGTGAGTAAAGGGATAGATAGTGTGTTAAGTGAGTATAAATAAAGAGGGTGAGAATGAATGAGTGTCGGAAGCAGAGGTGCGAAAGGCTGAATATTGGAAGGAGAATGTATGTTGGTGAGAAAGAGTTCGGGAGGGTAATTATGTAAGAGAGAGGGGAGGAACGAGAGTGAACGAATTAAAGAGGGTTAAAGAGGAAAAGTGCTGGAGGGTAAGTATGGGATTGAGTGGAAAAGCACAGTGGAGAGTAAATGAAGAAGATAAACAAATAACCTGCATTGTGCTTTTTTTTTTTTAAATGAATTAGTGTGCCGGAGAGTGATTATGGAAGTGGGGCTAGAGTGTGATACTAAAAAGAAGAGTGCAGGAGTGTGAGTGTGAGAGGGCGGGGCGAGAGGGTGAAGATAAGAGGCAAAGTGTGGCAGTGAGATTATGGGAGGGAAGCGAGCAAGAGGAAATGTACAAGAAAACGCAACAGCTGCCGGAGCTCTACTAGTGCAACTAACGTCACACAATGTGGATGTGTTCAGCCATAATCTGGATACTCCTTCTCAATGGTAAGTCATTCGTCAAGTTCGCAGGTGACCTTCCTCACCCTCCATTGTAAGATTGTTACTGTGGTGAACATGTGGTGGTGGTGATCCTTAGTCCCAGCAAGCCAAGGAGTGTTGTTGACTGGCCCGTCATCACCTGATTACATGCATTCCTTTAACCACACAATATTTTGAAAGAAAAATTGCATAGAATATTAAGAAAGATTGTTCTTTTACACTTTAAAATCCTTGCCGTCATACATTATATAAAAATGGCAGAAGATATTAACTCTCGGGAACAAAAAAGCAAAGTGTAGTATAGAACTAATCAAATGTACCATGAAATACAACGAAAATGAAGGTGTTTTCCATTTTTACATGTGACTCGTGTTTGCCAGCATAAAAATTATTGTATCACTTGAAAAATGTTGAAGACAGGGCAGCAAAAATGATCTCAAAACGAAGTTAAGATAGGCTAAGGAATACCGAACTAATAACTCTTAAAAGTAGTCAAATTGAAGAGGATTTTATGATGCGTTTTAAATACCGAACAAGATGGTTTTTGTAATCTGACGTAACACATACAAGGTACCACTATACAAGGTACCACCATACAAGGTACCACCATACAAGGTACCACCATACAAGGTACCACTATACCAAGCTCGCTAAATCGCAGTACAGAAAAGTTACCAAGAAATACTTCATTTAATAAGCCAGCGGAGATTTCGAACTAATGATGGTGACACCAGGAATAAATTGGAGAAGTGTTCAAGGCCACTGTAGTGATATGGGCCAACAGGTATATTTACATACATCACATGTTTAAGTTCCCATAATCAAGATACTGAAGGGAGCAAACTGAAGATACAGAGAGATATGCATAATGAATCTGGTATATCGCGGAAAAATAGACCTGTTCGGACCAACTGTTTACGAATATTTACTGTTCTTCTACAGTTTAATGGAGAATACTGCGTATAAAAATTACAGCTTATTGTAAATTAAAAACAATATTTTAGATAAACTGCTAGTGTCTAGAAATTGCCATTGTAAGTACTGATTGCACATAAGAAAACTTGGGCCCAATATGCGTATGAAAAAAATTCATGGCACTCTAGTTACGACGTAACATTTAGCCGCATTCCCAGTGAAAGTCGTACAGCGACGTAAACAATACCCCCAGCCAGTGATATATACTATCTGATATAATCGGTTTTTCTAATGTATAGAAAATATTTTTCATATAAAGTTACATAAATGTCAAAAGTTTTCAAAATCTTGATACCATCAGTTTATGGATTTCTACTTCATTGAAAGGTCACTTGATGACGTAAAAGTTACATCAAGAATATTCGTAAAGATTATGAACAAGATCTTGAAAACTTTTGCATTAATACAGATAAAAATGTGTAGCCGTCGTAAATATTGATAATTGAGAAACTCAACGACGATGAAACAGGAGTGCAAACGAAGGTATTATTTTCATAATTATGTAATTTATGTTATTGCTTCTTCCCTGGTTATACACCGCTCAAGGAAATATAACATTTACTCATCCATGCTTCACTTGGCGCTATCCACTACAACACACACACACACACACACACACACACACACACACACACACACACCGAGATGTGCCTAGGACAAAATGGTAACTAACACCTACTGCAGCATATGGGCGAATGGCAAACCTAAGAATAGCGTTTCGACACCTTAGCAAGGAATCGTTCAAGATTCTGTACACCGTGTATGTCAGTCCAATATTGTAGTATGCAGCACCAGTATGGAACTCACACCTGGTCGAGCACGTAAAGAAAGTAGAGAAAGTGCAAAGGTTTGCAACAACACGAGTCCCGGATTGTTAGGTAAGACACATATGCAACAGTTAGGTATCTTTATTATGAAACGTTTCGCCTACACAGTAGGCTTCTTCAGTCAAGTACAGAAAAGTTGATAGAAGCAGAAGATACTTGAAGACGATGTAATCAGTCCATCACCCTTAAAGTTTTGAGGTGGTCAGTCCCTCAGTCTGGAGAAGAGCATTGTTCCATAGTATGAAACAATATTGTTTCATACTATGGAACAATGCTCTTCTCCAGACTGAGGGACTGACCACCTCAAAACTTTAAGGGTGATGGACTGATTACATCGTCTTCAAGTATCTTCTGCTTCTATCAACTTTTCTGTACTTGACTGAAGAAGCCTACTGTGTAGGCGAAACGTTTCATAATAAAGATACCTAACTGTTGCATATGTGTCTTACCTAACAACCTGTCGGTATTTTATACCATTTTAATGTTCAACGAGTCCCGGAGCTAAGTTGTATGTCGTACGAAGAGAGGTTAATGAAAATCGACCTAACGACACTGGAGGACAAAAGAGATAGGGGGACACATGAAAACTACATACAAAATACTGAGAGGAATTGACAAGGTGAATAGGGACAGAGTGTTTTAGAGATGGGGCATAGCAACATGGGGTCACAACAACAAGCTGAAGATTCAGATGAGTCACGGGGATGGTAGGAAGTTTTGTTCCTAACATAAATGTGTTAGAGATGCAGGAAAGGCAGGATCCATACATAGCTTTGAGAAGAGATAAGTTATAGATCATGGATTAGGGAGAGAGTGGACCTAGGGACGCCCAGTGCAAATGCAGGGCCAAGAGCTATGATTCGACCCACACACACACACACACACACACACACACAACCGAGGAGGTGAAGAGGCTGCTAAGCGAACTAGATACCTGATATCTCTCCATGAGTCCTGAGAAAAGGAGCAGAGGGAATGTGTGTTCCACTAACAACAATCTTCAACACATGTATCCTGAGGTTTGGAAGACAGCAAATATACTCCCATTAAACTACAGACAAGTGTCACTGAAATGTACAGTATGAAAAGTCATGGAGAAGATTATCAGAAGAAAAATGAGTTGAAACACGATAACCAGCACGCTTTATTGGAGGGGAATTCCTTTGTCACAATCTAACTGAAGTTTTACGACAAGATAATAGAAGACAGAAGAAAGAGAAAGAGAAAATGAGAGGGGTGGGTGGCTTGCATATTCTTGGACTGTAAGAAGACTTTCGACACGGTTCCACACAAGAGATTAGTGCAAAAACTAGAGGAACAGGCAGATATAACTGGAAATGCACTGGAATACATTAGGGAATACCTAACAGGAAGGAAACAACGAGTTATGGTGCGTGACGAGGTATCAGAAAGGGCTCAAGGGATGAGCGGGGTTCCGCAGGGGTCAGTCCTAGGGCCGGTTCTGCTTCTGGAATATGTGAATGACATTACAGAACGGATGGATTCAGAAGTGTCCCTCTTCACAGATAACATGAAACTAATGCGGATAATTCCAGCGGACACGTATCAGATAAGACTACAAAGGATCTGGACAAGCTGAAAACCTGGTCCAATAGATGGCTCCTGGAGTTTAACCCATCCAAGTGCAAAATCACGAAGATTGGGGAACGTCAAAAAAGACTGTAGATGGAGTACAGCCCAGGTCAAAGATTGCAAACGTCTCTTAAGGAAAATAATCATGGGATAAGAATCATACGGAGCACATTTTCTGCTATAGTTTAGGAGCACCTAGCAAACTTTAGAATAACGTTTCGACACCTAAGTAACGAGTCATTCAATACAGTATACACCTGAGAGACTACTTGGTAGGTTGAATCCGGGGAAGAGAGGGGTGGATGGGCTGGTGGCAGCCATGTTTGTTGTTATTGTCGTGGTGTCGCCTTGAGCGGTGGTGAGCGGGGTGGTTGCTGGGACGGCGTCCTCCTGGCTACAATTGTTGAATAGTTGATTTTTCGGTGTTTTCTTGCTGGCCTTGGTGCTGTTTCCTCTTAGATTGCGCCTCATAATACTACAGGAATTGGTGTAGTTAAGAAGAAGTTGTAGTTATACAAAGCTTAGGGTTATGTTGTTCGGCTGGCAGCGGGGTGTTGCTTTCGGTTTATGGGCAGTCTTCCTTTGATCTCTATTATTTTCGATTTGTAGGTTTCACTGTTGGTAATCTTTGGTCATCCTAGGTGCTACGTTGGGTAGTGCAGTTTTGCTTGTATAAACCTTGGTAATAAATACCGACAAGTTGGTTTAGAAAGACACGTAAGCAAACACTATAACATATTTATTAGAAAACGTTTCGGTCCTGGGACCTTGATCACTTCCCAGGACCGAAACGTTTTCTAATAAATATGTTATAGTGTTTGCTTACGTGTCTTTCTATACCAGTTTTGCTTGTAACTAGGTCATCATAGGAGCATTGGTGGCTCTGATAGTTGGAGAAAAGTACGGAGCTTGGAGGTCGCTGCTGCCGCTGCCGCTGCAAGCTCTTCCCCTTTGCTTCCCTCTCCTCCTCTCTCTCCCCATATTTCCCCCTCTTTCCCCTTCCCCACCTCTCTTTCAATTCGCCACTGTCTCCAGTACAGTGCAATATAGTACAGTGAAAAGAAAAGTGTTTCTTGAATGAATATAGTGTATATTCTTGAGATAACCAGTGTACAGCACAGTGATAAAATACCAGTGATAAAATGAAAGGAAATAAAATAAAAAACAATAGTGAAGTGTGGCAGTGTGGGTAAATCTTGCCCTGGTGTTGACATGTGACAAGTGATACACAAAGGTTTGAGTTACCACATATAACGAATAGACTAGGATACCGAGACATAATAAAAACCTAGTGAACCTACATTGTCAGGACAGTGATTAACATAATGGAAATGGTTTAAACTAAAATGTGGTATCGCATGAGAGAAGTGCCACATACCCTGAGTCATACGTCTGGCAGTGCTACCAGGCATCCATTCAGGCCTACCATGAACACCCACCCACCCACCATACCCCCACCCACCATACACCCACCACCCACATGCTGCAAATTTGGTTCCTATAAATACATCTTGCATATTAATGGCACCAGTAAGAGAAAGGTAAAGTGGAAATCAATTTTCTTCCATGGCATACAGAGTGTAGTAGGATACAGACAGGATGTCAGTACAG